ATTCTGAGAGCGAACTTTTGGAACTCCAAAATTTAGGAATTATTCGCACTTGCTGAACTGACATGGTAGTACAAGCTGACTGTAGCAACCAGGCTGATCCGGGAAGCCAAATGGCAAAGACGCGACAGGTTACAGCATAAGAGAACAGTACGAGAGAAGATGAGAGTGAGGTAAGACGTCTCGGTCCATTAAGTCATATATATGTAAACTCAACAACGCGACAAGACGTCGTCAGTATGACGGTCGCAGTGCTTAAATCTCACGTAGTTTGCCCGATGACCCCCAAAAACACTTCTGGACAACTGCCTCAATGCAGCTAGCAGTTTACGGCGCTGCGTGACCGTAATACAAGCGAGTTCAGCAGCTGGACCAGATACGGTGCATGGCTGTGGCCCAGTAACAACAAGAAATTCTCATACTAGTAGTCAGCGTAATCTCTGGACCCTTGCGCACCAAATTCTTGCAGACAGAATAATATTATGTACTGAATAGTAATTCGTAATACTGGATTGTATTTATAATATTTACGATTTAATGGACCGAAACATTTCTTACCATTATAATTTTTTTTTAAAATATTTTACTATTTCTACTAATTTCTTAATATTATTTTCCTTTGTCTTCTTCTTCCGACTTTAAAATATTTTCCTATTAGTAAACTTATTTGACTGAATTGCTCCCGGTCCATGATGACTGCATGCTGCTGCTGCCACTGCTAAATATCAAAAAAGCTGATAGTCTACGGACTAATAAATGAACAAAGCTTACATAATCTGTGGATAAGGCAACGAGAGGGACAATGAGGAGCTTGAGGAGCAATACTGAGGTGCACATGAGGTAGCAGTGTGAAGGGTGGTGCAGTGTGGGTTACCCGGGGGGTCCACCGAAATTTGAATTAATACGGTGTACGCGTCCGGAGTGTATATTTGCCGTAATGATCTAACCCGACAATACAAACTAATGACCGGTCTGGCGGTGGACGTTTTGCGTTCTCCAGCCGCCTATGCTGCTCGTTGCCTTTGTTTGCTAATGACGTAACTGTTAAGAACCGCAGCACTACAACTTTAAATGTAATCCCTAACTTAAATGCACACTGAGCCTTCATCCTCATCCCTATCCTCGACAACAGGCTCTTACACATAGGCGGCGGATCCAGGACGGACTCCTGGTGGAGGCGACAGGGGCTGAGGGCGGGGGGGG